AGATGAGACTTTCTGGGACACAGTAGAATGGTCCCACCCTTGGTCTGACAGCCTCTGTGCTGTTAAGGAGGATGAAAGTCTCAGGGAAAGAGCACCTCCAACTGGAGCAGAGGGAAATGATCCCATAGCTGGGATCCTCCTTTCAGATGTGGCACTGAAGATACCTCTCTGGGGGAGGGAACTCCAGTTATTAGGAAGACAGGTAATAGTTATGGGGGATTCGATCACTAGAAACATAGCTAGCCGGGTTTGCAATGACCAGGAGAACTGCACGGTGACTTTCCGGCCTGGTGTGAAGGTTGCAGATCTCTTGAGACATCTAGATAGACTTATGTGTAGTGCTTGGGAGGAGATGGTGGTTGGAGTACATGTAGGTACTAATGACATAGGAAAAGATAGGGGAGAGGTCCTGGAGGCCAAATTTAGGCTGCTAGGTAAGAGATTGAAGCCCAGGACTTCCATGGTAGTATTCTCTGAAATGCTTCCAGTTCTGCCTAACTGGCCCTGCATGTCTCACTGCAGGGTCTCAATACATGGATCAGACGATGGTGTAGGGAGGAGGGGTTTAGATTTATTAGGAACTGGGAAAACGTTTGGAAAAGGGGAAGCCTATACAGGAAGGAGGGGCTCCACCTAAACCAAAATGGAAGCAAATTAACAAGGTCATAGCTTAAAAACGGCTCTAAGAACTGGGGGAAAGCCGACATGTGGAGGAGCACCTGGTTTGGACAGAGACCTGCCTTGGGGTGGATCTATTAATGGAGATTCTCTATGTCCTAGTAAGGAGAGGATGGAAGATACAATACAGGTACGATCTGAGAAACAGTCAAATGAAAACAAAGTCCCATTCAATTACATCACGTAATGGCAGACAGCAAAAAAGTGGCAAGTTTTTTAAACTGCTTGTTTTCAAATACTAGAAGTCTAAATAACAAGATGGGTGAACTAGAATGCCTCATATTAAATGAGGATATTGATATAATAGGCATCACAGAAACTTGGTGGAATGAGGATAATCAATGGGACACAGTAATACCAGGGTACAAAATATATTGGAAGAACAGAACAGATCATGCTGGTGAGGGAGTGGCACTAGATGTGAAAGAGTACAGAATCAAATGAAGTAAAAAATCTTAAATGAACAAAACTGTACCATAGAATCTCTATGGATAGTAATGCTCTAATAATATAGCAGCCAATGGTGATAGTGACTGAAATACTCAGGGAGATTAGAGAGGCTATAAAAATAAACTCAATAATTAATAATGGGGGATTTCAACTATCCCCATATTGACTGGGTACATCTCACCTCAGGATGGGATGCAGAAATAAAGTTTCTTGACTCCTTAAATGACTGCTTCTTGGAGCAGCTAGTCCTGCAACCCCACAAGAGGAGACACAATTCTTGATTTAGTCCTAAGTGCAGCACAAGATCTGGTCCAAAAGGTGAATAAAGCTGGCCTGCTTGGTAATAGTGATCATACTATAATTCAATTTAACATCCCTGTGGTGAGGAAAAAACCACAGCTGCCCAACACTGTAGCATTTAACTTCAGAAAGGGGACTACACAAAAATGAGGAGGCTAGTTAAACAGAAATTAAAAGGTATAGTGCCAAAAGTGAAAACCCTGTAAAATGGATAGCTTCCCTTAAATGCTACTTAATCCCAGCATAGCAAAGTAAGGTGTGTGTGTATATATACTTTTTTGAAGACTCCATAATAGAGGCTCAACTTAAATGTGTACCCCAAATTAAAAAACATAGTAAGAGAACCAAAAAAGTGCCTCTATGGCTAAACAAAGTAAAAAGCAGTGAGAGACAAAAAGGCATCCTTTAAAAAGTTTCAGAGGAACAGCCGTGTTAGTCTGTATTCGCAAAAAGAAAAGGAGTACTTGTGGCACCTTAGAGACTAACCAATTTATTTGAGCATGAGCTTTCGTGAGCTGCAGCTCACTTGTGAGCTGTAGCTCACGAAAGCTCATGCTCAAATAAATTGGTTAGTCTCTAAGGTGCCACAAGTACTCCTTTCCTTTAAAAAGTGAAAGTTAAATCCTAGTGAGGAAAACAGAAAGGAGCAAAAACTCTGGCAAATGAAGTGTAAAAAAATAGAATTAGGCCAAAAAAGAATATGCAGAACAGCTAGCCAAAAACTCAAAGTAGTAACAAAAAAATTAAGTACCTCAGAAGCAAGAAGCCTGCGAAACGACCAGTGGGGCTACTGGACGATTGAGATGCTAAAGGAGCACTCAAGGACGAAAAGGCCATTGTGGAGCAACTAAATGAATTCTTTGCCATCAGTCTTCACAGCTGAGGATGTGAGGGAAATTCTCAAACCTCAGCCATTCTTTTTAGGTGACAAAACTGAGGAACTGTCGCAGATTGACGTCTTTAGAGGAGGTTTTGGAACAGATTGACAAACGAAACAGTAATAAGTCACCAGGACCACGTGGTATTCACCCAAGAGTTCTGAAGGAACTCAAATGTGAAATTGTAGAACTATTAACTGTAGTCTGTAACCTATCATTTAAATCAGCTTCTGTAACAAGTGACTGGAGGATAGCTACGGTGATGCCAATTTTTAAAAAGGGTTCAGGAGGTGATCTTGGCAATAACAGGCTGGGAAGTCTAACTTCAGTACCAGGCAAACTGGTTGAAACTATAATAAAGAACAAAATTGTCAGACCTATAGATGAACATAATTTGTTGGAGAAGAGTCAACATGGTTTTTGTAAAGGGAAATCATGACTCACCAATGTACTGTAATTCTTTGAGGGGTCAACGAGCATGTGAACAAGGGGATCCGTTGGATATAGGGTACTTAGATTTTCAAAAAGCCTTTGAAAAGGTCCCTCCCCAAAGGCTCTTACACGAAGTAAGCTGTCATGGGAAAAGAGTGAAGGTCCTCCCATAGATTGGTAACTGGTTAAAAGATAGGAATCAAAGGATAGGAATAAATGGTCAGAATGCAGAGATATAAATAGTGGTGTCCCTCATGGGTCTGTAGTGGGACCAGTCCTATTCAACATATTTGTAAATGATCTGGAAAAAGGGGTAAACAGAGAGGTGGCAAAATGTGCAGATGATACTCAAAACTACTCAGGATAGTTAATTAAGTCCTAGGCAGACTGCGAAGAACTACAAAAGGGTCTCTCAAAACTGGGTGACTAGGCAACAAAATGGCAGATGAAATTCAGTGTTGATAAATGCAGACTAATTCACATTGAAATACATAATCACAACTATACATATAAAATGATCGGGTCTAAATTGGCTGTTACCACTCAAGAAAGAGATCTTGGAGGCATTGTGGATAGTTCTCTGAAAACATCCACTCAGTGTGCAGCGGCAGTCAAAAAAGTGAACAGAATGTTGGGGATCATTAAGAAAGGGATAGATAACAAGACAGAAAATATCTTATTGCCTCTATAAATCCATGGTATGCCCACATCTTGAATACTGTGTTCACATGTGGTTGCCCCATCTCAAAAAACATATATTGGAAAAGGTTCAGAAAAGGGCAACAAAAATGATTAGGGGTATAGAACAGCTGCCCTATGAGGAGAGATGAATAAGACTGGGAATTTTCAGCTTAGAAAAGAGATGACTAAGGGGGGATATGATAGAGGTCTATAAAATCATGACTGTGGAGAAAGTAAATAAGGAAGTGTTATTTACTCCTTTTCATAGCACAAGAACTAGGAGTCACCAAATTAATAGGCAGCAGGTTTAAAACAAACAGAAATATTTTTTCACACAACGCAATCTACCTGTGGAATTCCTTGCCAGAGGATATTGTGAAGGGCAAGACTATAACAGGGTTCAAAAAAGAACTACATAAATTCTTGGAGGACAGGTCCATCAATGGCTCCTAGGCAGGATGGGCAGGGATGGTGTTCCTAGCCTCTGTTTGCCAGAAGCTTGGAATGAGCGACTGGGAATGGATCACTTGATGATTACCTTTCTGTTCATTCCCTCTGGGGCACCTGGCATTGGCCACTGTCAGAAGACAGGATATTGGGCTCGATCAGGGGTCTCAAACACGTGGCCCGCGGGATTCTTCCCTGCAGCCCTCCAAGTTTCCCGTGCCCCCCCACCCCCAGTGCGCCGTGTCCCCACCCTATCTCCAGGCCAGAGATGGGCAAACTACGGCCCCGGGCCGGATCCAGCCCCTCAGGGCTTTGGATCCAGCCAGTGGATTTGCTAACCCCGTGGTGCTGAGGGCTCCATGCTGCTCCGGGAAGCGGCAGGCACCACTTCCCTGTGGCCCCGGGGGGAGGGGGAGCAGAGAACTCCGTGAGCTGTTCTTGCCTGTGAGTACCTCCCCCGAAGTTCCCATTCGCCGTGCTTCCCCGTTCCCGGCCAATGGGAGATTTGGGGGAGGTACCCACAGGCAAGAACAGCTCATGGAGTTCTTTGCTCCCCCTCCCCCCAGGACCGCAGGGATAGGGTGCCCACCACTTCCTGCAGCAGCGTGGCATGGGGCCATGGCCAGGGCAGGCAGGGAGCCTACCCTGGCCCAGGTGCTAACCCCTGCCACTCCGGAGCCGCTCAAGGTAAGCGGCGCCGGGCTGGAACCTGAGCCCCTCCTGCACTCCCTCCTGTACCCCAACTCCCTGCCCTGACCCCCCTGCTGCACCCAGTGGGTGGGGGTGGAGCGGGGGCAGCGGGTGTGTGTGTGATGCGGCCCTTGGGCCAATGTACAAGTCCTCATGTGGCCCTCCTGGTGATTTGAGTTTGAGACCCCTGGGCTAGATGGACCTTGGCTCTGACCCAGTATGGCCATTCTTATGTTCTTATATTTGGCCCCTAGAATAGGTGGATATGTTTTGGTTTGCTGAAAATTGTAACACTCTTTTCAAATGAGGAACATCTGTTCCCTCTTCCGTTCACCAGGATTGAGAACTGGTTGTTTATACTGTCATTTCTGGTAATCTTAAAACCATTTTATAGAATCTGTGGCTGAAATCCTGATGCCTCCGGAGTCAGTGCCAAAACTCTCATGATTTCAATGGGGCCAGGATTTCCCCCTTCTTTTATTCTGATCATTGATGCATGGCTGACAACCTTGAAAATCCTTTATAGGTATTTTCTTTCCTTATCTCCATGACATAGCAGTATCATCGCTACCATGGTCCTGGGCAAGGAAAGAATAGGGTATATTTTGAAGTCCATCATCATTCCTCTGTCATGTTGGGGAGTCACTGTTCAGCAGGCCATTACTGCTTTCAGCCCCTGCTGGTCAAAGGAGCAAGAAATGTATTACTTTCAGCCCCTGCTGGTCAAAGGAGCAAGAAATGTGTGCTGCAAATCAGCCACATTATGGCCATCTAGAACAGCGTTGCTAGGGCTAGGCCAAAGGGTAAGACCTGAGCTTTACTGGGTATTTTAAATTCTTTGCTTGTCTGACTCTGAAGTCAAGTTGTTTATTCATGTAAAGAATCTTCAGATATAGAGAGAAGCAGTGCCATCAGCAAAAATCAGTGAAGGACCAAGAACTCAAGTTAATCTAGAGAATGAATGACTGGTTCTTTGATCCTGCTGCATTCTTTTAGCGCTTGAAGGCTAAACTTAGCCCTGTACATACAAATTCTGTTTAACCAAGTTTATTTAGGTTTTAAATATTTACGGTTTTCTTTTGTGTAGGTTCTGTTGTATAAGAAACTGTTACCACATAATCAGATTGCTGCTGTAGAAGCATGGGTAGCTCTCTTCAGATGAGCAGAATGTATTGCTAATATGGAAATGCACGTGTTGTTTAAACAGGTTGCATAAAGAAATGGCATGGCAAAACTGCTAAGCTTTGAATAACAGAGAAATAATCCATTATAGGCAAAATGCCAAATTATTTCCATTACTGTGAAGTGTAAGAAAACAAGTGATTTTTATTCTGAAGAAAAGATGTTTTGGGTTTGAGTTGTCTAATTAAAAAAAAATTAAACTGAATTATTTAGATATTATGAATGGAATTAAGATGCTAAATAGTTATTTCCTCACACTACAACCTATTTAATGTTTTGATACAGCAGACACTTATTTAATTATACAATTTGAAAAATGTCATAGCAGGAACTCATGGGAGTTGAGCAGTAGTACTTTATTTTCCCAGCAGACACTTAATATCAGCATGCTTAATTTTTAAAAAAAGTTTATTGCTGTTTTTATTTGAACAAGAAAATAGGGTTACTTTTTTTTTTTTAAATCCACTGTATAAGTCTGAGGAAGGAAGATCAGTAAGTAGAGGGCCTGTGCAGACTTATGCTCCAGTGCTCACTCTCTCGAGATGTGACCTGCACTATCACCATGCCCCCCTTGCCTCCCTCATTTTGAACTCGCATTTGTGATACTAATATTTAAAAGCTTAATCAAGCACTGGGAGTTAGTAGTTGTGGGGTGCGTATTTTTAATCAACCTGTGGCTGACTAATTTTGGTTGGGAGCTTGAGGAGTGGCTGCTGGGTTTGTGGCTACTGCTATGAAAGATGTATTAATATGGACAGTAGTTTTAATTTTTGTGAAAGTGCTTAGAGCACTAGCTTTTTCGTTTAAGGTATAAATCCAAATAGATAAATTTTGTGAGAACAAGTCTGAGGGAAGGATTTTTTTTAAAAAAAGTCCTGGATTTCAAGTTGTGTGGGCTGTAGTGAAAACAGGATTTCACTTTACCAAGCACACTTCAGGCTAAAGCAAGCAATCACGTCTCTTTGACCCCATCACCATAGTCTCTGAATGTCTTAACCTTAATACCAAAGGCCTAAATCTACAACGGTATGGAGGCTCCTAACTTCCACTCGATGCCTTTGTGAATCGTTGCCAAAATAGCTATTTCTTAATTAGAGGCATCGCCTCTGTGACGCTCCTAGTCGGAGGAGCAGCCCCGGCCAGCTGAAGGCGCAGGGAAAGGGGAGGCCTCATCTGCATACATTAAGAAGGTACAAGCATGATGATTGTAGCTTGATTGGTCGCGTCTGAACAATAACACCGCCAGACCAGGTGCATCCAGGACAGAAAACCAATTCGTATAAAATACAATCTCCCCACGCAATAAAACCAAACCAAACAAACAAAAAAAAAACCAAAAAAACCCAACACCAAAAAACTTGGTGTAAGGGGGAGGGACAGAAGTCATCCACAAGCCCGTGTCTGCAGCCCCAGTCACGTTTCTGCCTGACCTGACAGGTGCTCCGCGCCACCTTCCCCTGCGGCCATTCGCGGCCAGCTCGCCCCCGTCTCCCTCCGCTGCTCTGGCTGGGAAAGGGCTAGGAGTGCCCGGGGCAGCAGCGCAGGCCCCTGCGCCTCCGCGGCCGCCGCGCTGCGGGGCGAGGTCAGCGAAGCATCCAGCTCGATGTAGCAAGTGCTCGGGCACCGCGCGGAGGAGGGAAATCCGTCCCCCGGGCCGGGAGCAGGCGCTGCCGCGGGGAGGGAATTGCCCCCTGCCAAGCAATCGCTGCCCCCCACCCCCCGCAGGCTGCCCTTCCCCCGAGGCGCTGGCAGGGGGCTGGCCGGGTGTCGTGCAGCGCAGCAGCAGCAGGAAAGACTCCAGCTTCCCTCAGCCCTCCGGGCAAATGCCCCGCCATGCAGGGCTGGGGCTGGGGCTGGGGCTCCGGCAGGCGCCACCTCGTCCCCCGCGTCCCCTTGCGCTCTCCTGGCTGGCCCTGCCACCCTCCCTCGCTCGCTCGCTCGGCCGCTCCGCCGCCTCTCGCGGCGTTGACCTCATCTCAGCAAGTCCTGCTGGAGCCCGGGTGGACGCGGTGGGAGGGGGCAGAGGGAGGAGGAGGGCTCAGCCAGCTCCCGTCCCCATTGGAGCACGAGCTGCGACAGCTCCAGCTGGAGCGGGAGACGGGGCTAAAGAGGCTGAACCTGCCCCCCGGGAGCCCAGGGAAGCCTGAAGTTTTAAAGTGAGAACTTTCTTCTGGCAGGGCTTCAGACTCCAGGGGGAACCCGGTCTCTCCCTTCCCCCCCTGGGCGGGCTGTACAATCCTCGGCAGTGTCCTGAGACTGTATGGTCAGCTCAGGGGCGACCTGGCCAGGATTGCTTCAGCCTTTTCCTAGAGGACAACTAGTGCACCAGCGTTGCTGTCAGCTGCGAGCGAGCGAGCGAGCGAGCAATTCCCCGGCCTTCCCGACACCCGGCTTCCTCCCTCCAAGCCTGGGATCTCTAGCCTGCCGGGTGTGTTTTTGATTGGGGGGGGGTGGGATCGGCAAGCAGGACACTCACAGCCGTGACTGAGGAGCCCTTGTTGGCGAGCCGAGTTGGTTTTAGCGGCACAAAGGGCATCAGCCTCAATGATGACTGCTGACAAGGAAAAGAAAAGGTAAGCGGCCGGGGGGTCGGATAGGCTCGGAGGTGGGATGTGCAATGAAAATGGGAGCCGTGTAACTGCAGCGGTGCTGCCCGGGGAGAGGCAAGGTGTTTGGGACTCTCCTAAGTTACGACGCTCCCACGGACAGGACCGTGGTCTAGTCGCCCTGCTGGAGGGTCCGGTAGTTGCCGCGGCCGGGGTGACTTCTGTTTCTTCCGCAAGCCGGAGGCTGCTGCGTTCGCTCCAGGTCCTGGGGCTGCGGCTCCCCGGCGAGGACTTTCAGGCGAGAGCTGCCCGCCGCTGCTACCAAAACTGCCCAAGCTGGCGCTCTAGGGATCCAGCAGCCAATAGTTGGGAGTTCCGGGTACTACTCCCATTGACTGCGGGGCGCGGGATCGGGCCCTGAGAGGGGTCGCGGCAGGAAAAATGTTTCTTGACAGTTAATTGTCTTGGTTGATCGCCGCAGCCGCGAGGGGAGAGGTCGTTTCAGCAGGGCAGCAAAGATCACCTTCCTCCCCAAACCGCTCACAGCAAAACAAACAGTTTACACCAAATGGGGAGGGTGGTCGCAGCCCTGCTCCTTCCTTTCTCCGTCTGTAGCCGCTCTGGCAAAATTAACTCGAGTCCAAGATGTGTTGGTGCGGCAGGTTACAACACGGGCGGTGAAGGTTCCCCACGGGCGGTGAAGGATGAAAAAACCACCTAGCAGGTGGGTTGAGTTGGTTGCACTGACTAGGACAGAAGGGATTTACCAGGTTGAACGCTTTCCCAGTAAACGTGATCTCAGAAGTAGGTGGTTTCAAAAGCTCCTCGTGATGTCAGATACATTATAGGGAAACGTAACATATGCAGTCGTGAGGATCCAGCCTTTACTTCCATGCGTCCGTGGGAGCTACAGGGAAACATGTCAGAGATACTCCACCGCTTCCCCAGGAGAGCACGTTAGCAATATACCCCCGTTTTCCACCTGGGTTCCCCAGTGCGGTTTTAGGGATATAAAGCTAAGTGTAGGTTCCGCATTAATCCATCCCCATGGTGTATAGGAACCGGGCTGGGGTCTCAGGAGATAAGTACCCTGTGTTATTTTCCCAGTGGGACTTTCGGCGAGCGCGGGGGCCAGTAGGGAGACAAGGGGCCGTCGGCTCGGCTGCTCTCAGTTACACCGGTTGTGAATCCGGACTCATGTCCCTTAAGGGGGCAGAGGAAATCTGGATTAAGTCCCGTGTAACTGAGCAGCATTCAGCCCAAGCGTTGACTGGAACGGTGACTGAGCGGATCGCCTCCGCAGCTGCTGCTCGAGGGAGTTGAGCTCCGGGTGGAGTCAATCACTTTCTTGTGGAGGGTCTGCACTTTGGTTGCAGTGAAAGTGAATATCCTGGTAGCGGCGCTCTGATTAGCTGCACTGGGAAATGTTCAGCTCTCTGTTTTCTGACTGGCTGCATCGGAGAGGTCTGTGACACCCAGAGGCTAAGGCAGGGGTGGGCAAACCTTTTTGGCCTGAGGGCCACACTGGGGAATAGAAATTGTATGGCGGGCCATGAATGCTCACACACTTGGGGTTGGGGTGTGGGAGAGGATGAGGGCTCTGGTTGGGGGTGTGGGCTCTAGGGTGGGGCTGGGAATGAGAGGTTTGGGGTGCAGGAGGGTGCTCTGGGCTGGGATCAAGGGGTTTGGAGAGTGGGAGTGGGATCAGGGCTTGGGCAGAGGGTTGGGGCATGGGGGGACGCTCGGGGTGCAGTCTCCGAGCAGCGCTTGAGGCTCCTGGAAGCAGTGGCACGACCTTCTCCGGCTCCTACATGGAGGCCCGGTCAGACGACTCTGCGCGTTGCCCATTCTGCAGGCATCGCCCCTGCAGCTCCGATTAGAGCGCTGGAGGGGGCCGTTGGAGCACATAGGAGCCAGAGTGGGGCCATGCCCGGCTTCCAGGAGCCTCATGGTGCGGCCCCCGGCAGGCACACCGGAGCAGGGCCAAACTGTGTGATGCGGCCCCCAACCCAGAGTCCCGGCTGCAGTGCTGGAGCGTGATGAGCCGAGTGCTGTGGCCCCGGCCAAGCCCCAGACACCGCTGGGAGCTAGGGGGCCAGCTTAAAACGCTCACCCACCCCTGAGCTAAGGTCTCATCCTTTCTCCCCCCCCCATTCCATTTACTCCCACTTTCTTGCTCCATCCTACTCCCTTGAAAAAAAAAACCCTATCATCTGCAAAGTGGGAAAGTACCCACCTTTCTGGTGGGTATCAATCTTCCTCATACAAAGAAGAGAGTACAATATAATTAAAAATACATAACTACACCCATAGCTGGTAATTTTGCAACTAAAGTCATGCACATATGAAGATCATAGTCAACAACAAATACTAGTTCTTCAGTCGTCTTCTCCAATTCAGGGTTATTTAGTTCATTAGTTTTCGGGGATTAAGCTAATGCAATTTACAACAAGATTTATTATCTCTAATGTCAATTAGTTAATTTATTTTTTCAGTTGAAGGTGTTTTAGAAGGAAGGAATTTTAACAAAACATGCTTCATAATTACAATTACATGGGTATAGGTTTACATGTTATGTAAAAATTTATTAATTTTATATTGCTGATAAATCTCAACATATGATGTACTGAGGGTGTACTGTGTAGGTGGCCTCATAATTTTGGGGATCTGAAGAAATACGAGAATTTAATATAGGACCTGAGAGGCATGGAGTGTTTTAACTACCAATCATTTCACTTAGAGTTGAGGGCTCTGGGAATGTGCTGGGCAAGTTATTGGCTAGGTGTTTCTATCTTACTCTTATTAAATATTTTTTGTTGCAAGAAGGTGTAAAGTAGGGATTTAATTATATCATAGTAATATGTCCAAGGAAAACAGAAATCCAGATATTCAAACTCTGTAATTACCACTGAGAACAATTCCCTACTGAATCTTAATACAAATTGTTTGGTGCTCTGTATTACACATGTTACAGGTGGAAAGAAATCAGGAACTATAGTGCAAAACTGGCAGAAATTTAACTCGTGAAATCAATGAGAGTACTTGCATGAGTAAAGACTATCTAAGTGATTAAAAATTGCAGGATTGACTTATGTGTTGAGATATTCAAGCTATTTTATGGCACCTTAGAGACTAACCAATTTATTTGAGCATGAGCTTTCGTGAGCTACATGCTCATGCTCAAATGCTCAAATAAATTGGTTAGTCTCTAAGGTGCCACAAGTACTCCTTTTCTTTTTGCGAATACAGACTAACACGGCTGTTCCTCTGAAACCTGTCAAGCTATTTTATGCTATCAGTGTTTGCAAGATTGACTTTTGTCACTGAACACAGAAATATGTAAATAAAAGCTGTAATTTATGAAGGAAATACCTTATCTTGCCATTGTTCATATATAGTTATTTCATTTACTGATATACTAAGCTTCTAAAATTGTATTTAATATTTCATTTTAATGTGTGCACTAGCTCCAGATCATTGACTAAGCTACACTATGAGCAGTTTGAAAATTATTGCACAGGATAACTTTAAATTGTATTTTTAGAACCATCAGCATATCGGATATTAATTTATTAGGGCTATATACTTTATCTTAACTGCACATTTGTTCGACATATTAGTTAACATTCTGTGCAAAGAATGAAGTATGGATAATATTATGTACCCTCATAATTCCATTTTGAAGGGAAGAGTGAAAAAGATTATGCTACAGTAAGGTGTGTTTGTAAAAATATGTAGTATGTTTAATAAAGGGCTGAAATAATGTTCAGACTGAAAATTCACAATTTTAATGAAAGATAGTTATATCACAGTTTTTAACAAAAAAAATCACTCTTAATCACCTATAACTATAAGGGAATGAGCACAGTCTAGTACACAGATAACTTTGAAACTAAGCGGATCTTAGAGTATGACTACACTACAATAGCCTGTGACGGGGCTGTAATATTGCAATGTAGATGTTTGGGCTCAGCTGGGTGTTTTGCAGTGTAGACATACCCATAGATGACAACTGTCTTGAGACAATGGTGTAATTGCCAAAGCAGTTCAGTTACTATGTGTCATGCTGCAGCATTGAGAGTGGCTAAAAAGTTCAGTTCTCAAGGGGCAGGTCTTGCCACAGATGGTGCAGGTTTAAGGCTCAGGGCCAGAAGATGAAACCAGTGCACTACTGGTGGTTGAGGGCTACTGCACTTTCTGCTTTTCTCTCTCTAAAGTGCCCAAGAATATACTTTAGATACAGCAGAAAACTGAAATTTAGGAGATCTGGGTTCTAATTTACTGGCTGTGCCACTGACTCAAGTGTGATCTTAAGTAAATCACTTGATATTCTTGTGCCAATTTCCATATCTCAGAAGTAGGGTAATAATACTTAGCTAACTCTAAGGGGTGTAATAGAGGTGAGATGAGATGAAAGGTCATGTGTCTAGTTCAGTATTCTTGCAGGTGTGTGTGTGTGTGTGTGTGTGT